TGCAACATTGGACCAGGACATTCATACATTTCTATAGCCAGCCCTTCAAAATGCCCACATTGGGGTAAGTTGTCATTTATCCCTTTCCATTCCCCACTGGTAGCAATCCTATCTCCCTCCACTTGTGACCCAACTCTCTTCCCCACCTTCCTTTCCCTAACCGCCTATGTTCCACTTCTATCCCACCCCCTCAACATCACCAGGCCTACTCAAACTCCTTTTAAACTGCGTTGCTATTCCAGTCTCGTCCGCTATATCACGAACCTTCCCTTCTGCTATGACCAGTTTCTCAGTCCTCCTCTTCCATCACTCAGTTCCATTCCCTCAAACAATTACATCACACACAGACTGGGCTCATCTTGGTCCGTCAGTTATAGAACTAGACATCTATACCGGTGAAAGGTAGCAGGGAATTCTAATCATTTCCCCAAACTCAATCCACTTGCCCTGTTGATGCTCAGGGCACAACACATGAGATTTTCTAACTGCTGCAAAAGAAACTTGACACGAGCCAAAGTAATCTGCTTTCAAACACATACGCACCTTAAGCCAGATAATAGAAGCACATTAGACCCAAAGGGACTGAGTAGTGTCCTCATTGCTTTTGTGTAGCACTTCTGCCTACACAGAATGCGAGCAGCTTAGGCTCCGTCTACGCCATTTGTTTTTGGCGGAAGAGGAAATGCAAATGAAGCGCTTATTTGCTAATCTTGTGCTCTCATTTGCATATTCTCTTCCAATCCTTTTTGTGGAAGAGGTTTTTGTGAAACCCCCCCGCAGTGTAGACAGGACTATTTTTTGGAAAAAATCCCTTTTGTGCAAGATCCTGTAACGCTCATTTTTTGAGGAATAGGTGATCTTGCACAAAAGGGGTTTTTTCTGAAAAATGATCCCATCTACACTGTGGTTTTTTTCGGCAAAAACTTCTTCCGCAAAAAGGATTGGAAGAGACTATGCAAATGAGAGCGCAAGATTTGCAAATGAGCGCTTCATTTGCATTTCCTCTTCTGAAGAAAACAAATGGTGTAAACAGAGCCTTAGAAAATTCACTTTGCACAGGGATAGAGAGATATACCTGTGTAGGGCACAAGGCAAGAGAGAATTGGTCTCATCATTTTTATACTGGACATGTCCACTTCATTTTGCTGACCATGTCTACACTACAAAGAAAAGTCAGAAAAAGATACACAAATTGTGAATTGCAATTTGCATATCTTTTTCTGCTTTTCTTCCAAAAGAGGCTTTTCCGACATTTGGCCCATCTACAAATAAACCCTCTCTCGGAACATCCCTTCTTCCTCGTGAAACACGGTTTACAGGGATGCCGAAAAAAACGCATCCGCTTTTCTAACTTTTTTTTTGGAAAAGCTCTGTAGTCTAGACATACCTAACTGCCACATCTGATTACAGAATATGTGAAGTGTATGCATTTTGGCCTGCCCTTGGACTGAAAAACAGAGCTCACCACACACTCCAAACTTTTGTGACGCATTTCTGAACAACCTTCCTCTGGCAGAGTACAGTGAATTTAAGTCCTGCTAGGAGACCGATACTGGCTAAAATAACTGCACTGTTATCCAAAAAGAAGTCATCACAATCAAGAACAGATTTTTGCTGAAATCTCCTTGTCCGGGACTTCCAGGAAGAGCAATCTTCACTAAAATGATAGCACAATTAATGTAATTAGTCTCCTGAGTTTTCCTTTGCAGAACATTCAGGACCTAGAAAAGAGCGGATTCCATTCCTGGCAATAGCTCTGCTTTGCAATAGGACTAATGAAACTATGGATACTGGATTAACAGGAGTTGGCCCCTCTCAGAGGGATTCTCTGCATATTCATTTTGCTAAGAGAATTATTCTGAGCTCCAGGTTTTTATCCTGATCTTGAACAGCTGCACAAACTGAAAGTAAAAACAGCATAGCAACAATGGCATAAGAGCACAGCAGTTTTCCCGAGGTAAGGAAAAAAAAAACCCCCATCACTGGTGAATTTCATGGTTATCTAACAGCATAGGATGCAGTGATGCTGAGAAAGATGCAAAGAGCTGTCTGCAACCCGTTCAGTGCTGATCTGGAGAGCAAGATCAGCAAATCTTAAAGCCTTTGATTGCTGTTATGAACTGGATTGTTTAAACAGATGTACTTTGATGCTGGAAAACAAATAATCTATGTGTGTTGCTGAGCTGTAAAATCTGGCATTTTGAATAGGCAAAGTCTCCAAAATGCAGTTGTGTAAATTTAAATGAGGTTGTTTCACTCCCTAAAAGACAAAAAGTTTGTAATGGATTCCTGTCATTCATTGCTGAAATCCCAAGGCTTTCCGCTCCTTTTGAAATTAATTGGAAAGTTCTGATCATCACAGGTGGCCAGCTAAGCTTTCAAAACAATGAGGGGTGCTACCCTAAAGTAAGTATTTACTATAACCACTATTTGGGAGTTCTGAATTTATTCTTGGCATTGTAAATTCAGTATGCAGACAGTGCATCCCATAATAACATCACAACATGCGGACACTCTGCAGCGAAAATATATGTCACCCTCATCCTCCAAAATTACCAACTGTTGCTTCATTTCTGGCTGACATTTTTTATTGAATCAGATTTTTAGTTTTGACCTAAGCAGGAGAAAATATAATGCATTGTGTTAAAGACTCCAGACTGATGTCTGCTGAGCTCTGGATATAGATATTTTGGATTCACACCAGTTGAACAGAGTAAAGAATTTGGCCTGCTACATAGGTGTACTTACTTGCTTTCTGGTGCACTTCAAACCCTGCAGCGAGGCCCCGGAACAAGTGGATTGATTTCCAAAAGGCATTCCAGAACTGTCAGCCCAAAGCATCCACAAGTCATGAGTAAGGCCTAAAACCACATTTTGGCTATGTCTACACTCGCGGCTTCTTGCGCGAGTAATATGCAAATGAGGCTAAGTGTGGAATATCGCCAAGCCTCATTTGCATACCTAATGAGCCCTCATTTTTTTCAGAAGAGGCTCTTGCGCATGAAGGAGCGTCTATACTGCCCCTTCTTGCGCAAGAAAAACCCTCTTGCGCGATGCCGTTGCACCTATTACTTTTCAGGAAGAACGGCGTTGCGCAAGAGGGTTTTTCTTGCGCAAGAAGGGGCAGGGTAGACGCTCCTTCTTGTGCAAGAGCCTCTTCTGAAAAAAATGGTGGCTGATTAGGTATGCAAATGAGGCTCAGCGATATTCCACACTTAGCCTCATTTGCATATTACTCGCGCAAGAAGCCGCAAGTGTGGACATAGCCTGTGTGTCCTTTTCTTCTGGTTTCACAGCTTTCAGAGCGGATTCATGTTTTCAAACTCTCCTTTCTGGTGATAAAGTTTATTCGAAACTTTAATTTTTAAAAACAAAAGCTGAGACTGGAGTGTATCTATGGGACATCAGGACACCAGCAGCTCTAATAGAAATGCCAAGTAGACGAGGCATGTAATAAGAATCCACTGTGTCGCCAACTCTCGCCAAGTCACCCTTACGAGCCTAACTTCAGGCCCGCATTTTTAAAAGCCATGGCGGAGCATATTCAACTGCTTTTCCCCGCACTTACCGAGAGAAAACCGAGTGCCAGATTTCCAAGTGAACTCAGCCTCCAGCAGCTCTCGTTGAGAATAATAGGAGCTGCTGAGGCCTGGAGCACATTAAAAATGTCTAGTTCATTTTGGTGTCTAAATGGGAGCTGAGCTCTTTTGCCAATCTGGCCCTTAATATTATGAGACGAAGCCCAAAGGAATACTCGGAAGGAATTAGGCATCTAAATCCCAGTTTTGGGGACCACTGCAATGCAAAGAGCTCAAACCCTGTAAATGCCGAACCTCACTCGGCTCCTAAGTTTTTGCAGTAAAAGTTTTTTAAATGCTCATGCCTCTGAGCAGGTGCACCGCTGCCTCCTTGTGGGGGTCTAGGTGCTTAACTCGCATCCAAGCCCTAGACTGATTCACACCCCAGCAAGATATTTCCACTATTTGATCTGAGGAAGTGGGTCTGGCCCACGAAAGCTCATCATCTAATAAACCATCTTGTTAGTCTTTAAAGTGCTACATAGTCCTGTATTTTGTTTCAGCTACACCAGACTAACACGGCTACATCTCTATCACTACCCAGCAAGATAGACATTCTGCTGACTAACTAGGGGGCCCAACCCAGCAGGTGTGCTCAGAGGCCGCCTACTGGATCGGGTCACTCAGGCAAGTTCAGGCGATGACATGCCCTCAACTCTATGGTCAGGGTACTCCCCAGTCTTACCATGTGACCTTTACTGCTCCGCTGTGGCTAGGCAGCGCTGCCTTCAGAGCTGGGTGCCCGGCCAGCAGCAGCCTCTCTCTACTCTACCTTCTGAGCCCATGCGACCCCTCTCGATATATTCTGTGGCACCCACTTTGAGAACCGAGAGCAGCGGTGCTGCTAGCGCATGGCATGGCTAGTGAGCAGAGCCTGTGGGAGCATGAGCAGCCGGGTGGTGGGGAACCCTTCCTGAGTGGGGAAGAGTGGCTATAAGGGGGCTAAGGCAAATTTTGGGATGGCTAAAGTCCCCACTAGCACCTCCTTTGTTGACACAGGCCCTGCGTCGCTGTAGCTTGAATGGGCGCTCTACCAAACTAACCAGGGTGTGTGCACGTCCCTCAGAGTCCAGGAATGCAAACAATGGCAAAGAAGGCCTAGTCCACTGCACTTCCTTGCTTGGTGCCATTGGTGACAGTGAAGCGTTCTGATGAGTCAGCACATCCCTTCACTCTGGCTATCATGCCACCGTGATAACAGCCATCATCTTCTCTGGGCTACTAAATTTATGGCGGTGTTTCCATAGGCAGAGGAGAATCAGGCTCTAGTTTGTTGGCGTGCCTTGCAGGCCTGGCTCCCCTCTGAAATGTAGCTAGTGAACATATCAGTTAGTGCCTCCCAATGTCCCACCCGGTATTAATTTTAATTGTGCTGTGGATTACAGCCCATAGTTTCTAATATTTGCTCTGTGGTTGCTTTAGCTACTGCATCCTCCTCCGAGGTTCCTTTGGTACAAAATGCTGCTCTGACGGCTACAGAAGAACACAGTCATGTCTTGGCACTGAATTAAACACCGAGCTGGGAACACAGTCCTGGATGGAGCCTCCTCAGCAGCCGTGGCCACTGAGAAAGACAATGACTGAATGGGAAAGCACAGAGAGAATGACTGACGTGGTAGAAGGAGCTGGTATTCCTGATAACAGGCCCTGACCATCATTTGGCACCCTCGTGTGCCTGACAGCACAGCATGATTAGAATTGGGAGGAAGAAACTTTGGGCCTCTTTCTTCTGCTTTGCAGCTCTCTTTTTCCTTCTTGTGACACTCCAGGTACTGTGAATCCTCAGACTGGGTAGCTGAAGAGTTCTAGTCTTGGAAGGGAGGGAAAAGAGATGCATGTGTTTGCATTCCAACTGTGATACAGCTCTGGCAGGGCAAAAATGCCATTAAAGGCCCTGAATATTTTCATTAATCAATAACACTTTAAGAAGTACCAGTGTAAAGAAATTCTACTTCACCGAGACTATGGCAACAGTATGTTTTTATGGAGCGCTCATTTGCATAGGTCACTCTCTCATTTGCATTTCCTCTTCCTTTCCCTTTTGCGCAAGAGATTTTTGTGCAAAACTGTGCTGTGCGGACGTTTCCGTTTTGCACAAAAAACCCCGTTTTGCGCAAGATCCTTATGCCTCAGAGAGGGTTTTTTGCGCAAAACGGAAACATCCACACTGCATGTTTTTGCACAACAACCTCTTGCACAAAAACAGATCAGAAGAGACTATGCAAATGAAGTGTGAGAAAATGCTAATCAGCGTGTCATTTGCATTGCCCTTCTGCAAAAAAATCCATAGTGTAGACATAGCCTGAGAACACAGGGCTAGAAGGAAAAGATAAATGAATTGATAACTTGCTTAAAAAAATAAGGAGAAAAGATCAAACCCTGATGCATCTGACAAAGTAGGTCTTTGCATGAAAGCTTATGCCCAGATTAATCAGTTAGGGTATGTCTACACTGCAAGGGTATTTCGAAATAAGCTATTTTGGAATAATAAATCCTGAAAAACGATTTCAAAATAGCATGTTCACACTGCAGAGAAGCCTTAAAATTAGTCCAAGGCAGGCTCCCCTAATGTGGACACGCTACCTCGATTTAGAGCCCCAGGAAGCACTGGGGAGTAATTACTTTGAATGGCCCTGGGGAGGAGCAATTTTGAAATAGCCGCAGTGGTGTATCCATACTACCGCTACTTCGAAATAACTTTCAAAATAGGTGTTATTCCTCATGAAATGGAGGGTTAATTCTTCTGGAAGAAAAAGCCTGTTATTTTAAAATGATTTTGAAATAACGGGCTTGCGGTGTGGATGTCATCTTGTTATTTCGAAATAACATGCCTTATTTCAAAATAATTCTGTAGCGTAGACGTGCCCTTAGTCTCTAAGGGTATGTCTACACTAGCCCCCTAGTTCGAACCTTGTGGAATGAGGTGTAACACTAGCCCCCTAGTTGTATGTTGTGGAATGAGGTGTAACAGTTAACTCGAACTAAGGATTTAGTTCGAGTTAACGTTTGACTGCTGCGTGTAGCCGCGGGCAGTTAGTTTGGACTAAGGGGATTTAAAAATGGTGCCCGGACGGGAAGATGCAAATAAAGCCTGGGATATTTAAATCCTGGGCTTCATTTGCAACTTTGAATGCTTACATTAGCCTCCCTAGTTCGAACCAGGGGGCTAGTGTAGACATACCCTAACTTGCCACAGGATTTCAAGAAGGTTTTAGTGATCCTACGATATCAGGGAAAATTTTGTATATTCTTGAGCACCATCTATTTAATTTCCCTTGTAATTTCACAGTTTCCTGATATCACTGTTTATAGAGCATGCCTACCACAAGTAGGGCTAATTGTCTATGTTGTATGTCTTAACCAGACAGACAGCAGAAGGTATATTATAAACCACTAGTGCCCTCGCCAGTTTGAAGCTGAATAATTTTCTTTGTCAACTTAAATTCCCTTGACAGTTCTAAATGGGTAGAGTATTTTTCACTTCCTATGTAAAATAGCCATGAAGCATTGCTCAGAGCTACTGAACAGCTGCCAAAGTCCACCCAGGAGATGGGTGCATGTCACTGACAAACTTTATACAAGGAAATTCGTGTCTGCTAACCAAACTGTAAATCTCTGGCCATGCACATTATGGTCCATGTGTTTTTCTCCAAAGGTGGTTCTTGAACTGGGCAAGTCGGAAAGGAAGATACACGTCTCCAGTTTACAAGATGGTTCATTAAAACTGGAGAAGCCGCAGAAACATGCATATCAGTTTTTTAATAAACAGGAACTCTACAGCGATACCAGAAGAGTTTTAAATACGGACAGATACCCTATCCTGATTTGGTGGTCCCCCCTGACTGGCGAGACGGGGAGGTTGGGTCAGTGCGGAAAAAATGTCTGTTTCTTTACTATCAAGAGGAGCTACCAGCATAATCACATGACAAAAGCCTTTCTTTTCTATGGTAAGGAACTGAGTAATTGTAAATGAGTTCCCTCCCTCCCAGCTATTTCTCTGTTACAGATCAAGCACTGCGTAACCGTAACCCTCTGCAACTGAAGCTGTTAGAGTCTGCAAGTTGGCAAAGTGCACCAGCACGTATCTTCACTTGCATCTCCAGTGCAGTTCTTTTCTAAAAAGTGATCGTGGGACATGGCATGGTGGAATTCTTTGTGTATTGTCTCTTGCTAACTTCTAGCTCAGAGGTGAGCAGAATCAGGCCCGGGAGCCGAATGTGGCCTCTTTGTGTATTGTCTCTTGCTAACTTCTAACTCAGTGGTGAGCAGAATCAGGCCTGGGGGCCGAATGTGGCCCGCCAAGCATTTCTCTCCCGCCTGCCCAGCTGATTAGCAGAGTGAGCATATTTACAGCTGACTTCCCCACCTCGCTCCATCCTGCAGCTGAGCTGCTCCCAGGAATCTCCTGCTAGCTGTGCAGAGCGGGGAGAGGGATGGAGAAGGGAATGCTGAAGCCATGGTGTCGCCTTGCCCCTGTGTGCAAAGTGCCTTCAAAGGAGCAGAGTTTAGCCTTTTCACATCCGCCATTCCCTCCTGTCAAAGGGTTCCCAATTAATACGCTGGAAATGATGCACACTTTCCATCTTGTCCCACATTTCTCTCATTGGAAACAGATTAATCCCCCTTTGTCCTGCACTGGCCGGTACTGCTGTCACCTCTTTCATCCTTAAAAGCTTTTGGTCAACCAGCTTGAGCAAGATGGAGTAAGTGTGTGATATCAGAATCAGTCATTTCCGGGCCTTTTACCATCCAGTGCAGTATTTCTTAAACTGTGTTCCACAGCACACCCCTGTGCTGCAAGGCAGGCAGGCAGGCAGGGAGGGAAGAAGGGATAGCTCAGTGCTTTGAACATTGGCCTGCTAACCCCAGGACTGAGAGTTCAATCCATTTAGGGCTCTAGGGCAAATCTATCAGGGATAGTACTTGGTCCTGCCATGAGAACTGGACTTGATGACTTCTCCAGGTCCCGTCCCCTTCTATGAGATAGGGACAGCTCCATATTATAACAGAATTCAAAAGGACCACCCTTAAAGGGGCAGTCAACTTATTGCTCCCCCCAATAATTTTCTCCCAACCCTCCTCCCCCCCTTTTTTTTGCTCAATAACTTTTCCCCAGCCTCAACAAAAAAACCCTTGGTGTTCCTCCTTAAAAACAATATTGTTTGGTGTTCTTCGGTCTTCAAAAGTTTAAGAAACACTGATCTAGTGCATATTTCTACAGGGCACAATGTTTTCCCTCACATAATCCTCCTCTCCTCAATTACTCAGTTTTAGTCTCCTATTTCCATTCCCTCATCTCCCTCTGCTTTCTTGCATCCTCTTTGTAGTCCCGTTTTTCTTGGCACCTTCCCCTTATCATTGGGGAGAAGTAGGATTCCTTTAAAGGACCCAGAAGCAAGTGTAATTATTGGGCTTACTGTGTATCCCAATTCCGAGGGGTACCACTAGCATGCCTGGTGTCTCTCTCATGGGGGAGGGAGGGGGGGGGGCTTTGCACTGGCTCCCTGCCCAGCTGCCTCCACTCCCTACAAAGCCTCACAAGAGACCTGCACACAGCTGTGATGTTCAGCAGTCACAGCCTGTCCATTTGCAGCCCCGTCAATAGTTCCCGAGGCTTTTCTCCAGCTCCCTGCTGCTAAATGGCTTCCACAGCTGAGTTGCAAACAGGCCCTTGCCACATTTTAGGACCTTTCCCTTTACTTGGCCAGGAGAAGGGGATGTACAGTGAAGAGGAAACTGACAGGAGTTGATGGGACCAGATTTGCACATCCATCACGCATGAGTCACCTGAAGGGTGGTTATTCATGGGCTCCAAGGCACATAATCGGAGAACGTGACTACACGAGAACATGTGGTACAGATCCCTACCTCCCCAGGCTAGTGCTTATTGTTGTTGTGTAGTGTTGGTTCCTTAGTTGTGACTATTGCATCTGGAATGTTGAGTCTATGGCCCATCATTCCAGAGATAGGTGCAATCCTGTTACAACAATTAAAGCTAATGAGTACATTAAAATGCAAATTAACATAACCCGTTTTGGCCCGTCTGAAGTCTACTGCTATTCTATTACAGAGTTCACTGGAAAAACTCAGAGTTCAATTGTGCCCCCTTTACCTCTGGTGAGTAGAACCTTATTATGGGACTTGTTGCAATCAGTAGACCCTTACGACACATAGGCTACGTCTAACACTGGCATGATTTTCCGGAAAGTTTTCCGTTAAAAGCATTTTCGGAAAAATCGCGTCTAGATTGGCAGGATGCTTTTCCGCAAAAGTACTTTTTGCGGAAAAGCGTCCGTGGCCAATCTAGACGCGGTTTTCCGCAAAAAAGCACCGATCGCCATTTTCGCAATCGGGGCTTTTTTGCGGAAAACACTACTATGCTGTCTACACTGGCCCTTTTGCGCAAAAGTCTTTCGGAAAAAGACTTCTGCCCAAACGGGAGCAGCATAGTATTTCCGGAAAAGCACTGATGATTTTACAGGAGATCGTCAGTGCTTTTCCGGAAATTCAAGCGGCCAGTGTAAACAGCTGGCAAGTTTTTCTGCAAAATCATCTGATTTTGCGGAAAAACTTGCCAGTCTAGACACAGCCATACAGTCCAATTCACTGGGAGTAAAGTGGCACAGTTAGACCCAAAGTAAATTACAGGGGTCTTGTATAGTGATTAAAATATATGTTTTCCTGGCTCAATATATTAAGGGTTTGACTGGTGACACTATTTGTGTTTGTCTAGGCACTGACTTTAATATCGATAGTTTGCCCCTCCCTCGTAAACGCCATCACGACTGGGCCCTTTTCCATGAAGAGTCACCCAAAAACAACTACAAGCTCTTCCACGAACCTACCATCACTCTGTTCAACCATACCGCTACCTTCAGTCGCCACTCCCACCTGCCGCTGACTACACAGTACCTAGAGGGCATAGAGGCCATAAAGTCTCTGAGCTACATGGTTCCTTTGGAGAAGAAGAATATCTTGAGAAAGAGACTTGCGCCGCTTGTGTATGTGCAGTCCGATTGTGACCCTCCTTCAGACCGGGACAGCTATGTGCGCGAGCTAATGCGGTACATCCAGGTGGACTCCTATGGGGAATGCTTGCATAACAGAGACCTCCCTCAGCACCTCCAAAACCCAGCCTCCATGGACGATGGTAGCTTTTATAGCATACTTGCTCAGTACAAATTCATTCTTGCTTTTGAAAATGCAGTCTGCGAGGATTACATCACTGAAAAGCTCTGGAGACCCCTCAAGTTGGGAGTGGTACCGGTGTATTATGGGTCCCCCAGCGTTATGGACTGGCTGCCGAGTAATAAGAGTGCAATCTTTGTAACAAGATTTTCACATCCCCGGGAGCTGGCGCACTACATCAAGGCGCTGGATACAAATGACCAAGAGTACGAGGCCTACCTGCAATGGAAACTGGAAGGGGCCATCTCCAACCAACGACTGCTCGCTGCTCTCCAAGAACGCAAATGGGGAGTCCAGGACATCACCCAGGACAATTATATTGATGTGTTTGAATGCATGGTGTGCAACAGGGTGTGGGAAAACATCAGGAGGCAGGAAAAGGTACTCATAACGCTCATTGTCTGGGGGTTGTTTTCTTTTAAGTACAGCCAGTTTTGGCAAGAGGAATCAGACTGATCTTCCAGCAGGGCTAAACCCTGCCAACACCACACAGAGTGAGACTCACTTTATTTAGACAACATTGCCTCACAAGTTCATCAGTTACGATTGTGAAGGGTCACTTGTTAAGGTCACAGAGTATTTCCGGCTCCTTGGCTTCTCTCCAGGGATTACTAGTTGTGATGGATTTTTCTGATAGGGACATGGCACATCTGGAATTTGACCGAAACCACCGACTCATTTCATGTAGGCCTTAATCATCACACAGTAAAGATGGGCAGCCACCTTTTCAAAATGGCCACTGATTGTAGATTCCACAGACGTTTAGGTGCCCAATTTCAAACACCAAAAATGGAGGTGCCCAAAATCTGAATTGAATTTTTCCCCTTTAGTCATTTCTCAATAGGGATTGAATAATTTTTACATCTGCTTAACATAACCAAGAACTTTGCTTAGATTTACATTATATATCAGTCTGGTTTTTAACATCTCCTCTGTTGTTTGTTTTCTACTGTGGCTGTCTGACCTGCCACGCTTTTTCATCAACTAGCAAGGGAAGACAGACAACTCTTAGGAAGGTCAGCTGTGCTCATATGGAAAAAGGGAATAAGAATACTCAAGTTGTTTTCAGCGACTTGTCTGTCGGTCACTAGTTGAATGGGAGTAGAAATTTTGCCATTCAGCTTACACAGGATGGTCCATTCAATGGACTCTTCAATTGACTCGGCAAGTTTCTGATCAGAAAATCTCTTATTTGTGTAACCATGCACGCACAGGAAGCAGGTGTAGGGGAGAGAAACGATAAAACTGAACACTAAGGTTTTCCTAGTTCCCACATTGCTAGGTCTCATCTCAGAGGCTTCCAGGACCCCAGAGTTCACCAGTGTTTGCTTCATAGCTCTTACCACCCAACCCAGTGCATATATATTGAAATGACAACAATTAACTGCTAAACTCAGAGTCACAATATCAGCAGGTTTAACTCAGCATCCCTCTGTCCAAGTCAAGAGAACATTACGAATTCATATGAGCTGAGGCTCTGGCTTTTTGGGTGTGTCTAGACTACATGGCTCCGTCGACAGAGCTATGTAAAGTAGTTTACTCGACATAGTCAATGAAGCGGGGATTTAAATAATCCCCGCTTCATTAAAATAAAAATGGCCGCCACGCTGTGCCGACAATCAGCTGATCCGGCACAGCACGGCAGTCTAGATGCGGATTGGTCAACAAGGGACAAGACAAGTTTCAGGAGGCTTACAGGAGCGGTCGACAAAGACTTCCCTTGTCAACCAATCCGCGTCTAGACTGCCGCGCTGTGCCGGATCAGCTGATCGTTGGCACAGCGTGGCAGCCATTTTTATTTTAATGAAGCGGGGATTATTTAAATCCCCGCTTCATTGACTATGTTGAGTAAACTACTTTACATGGCTCCATTGACGGAGCCATGCAGTCTAGACATACCCTTTGAGGAAGCTGATCCTGATCCACTAAAATTAGCAGGAACTTTACTAGTGGGACCAAGCAACATCGGATCAGACCCTCACGCAGGGATTAGATTATTCTGCTGAAATGACTCAGTGGATTGCTAGCTATATAGCATCTTTCACCATTAGGTTGTCACTTCAACATAGCCAAGGTCTGTAGCATCTGGAAGCTTTTACCATCCGAGTCTTTTTTTTCAGTGGCCTATATGAAAACTCATTTGGTTTCAGTTCAGTTCCTGCAGGAGAGATGTCTTCCTTTCCAAAAATTAGCAGGATGATTACCACGCTCGTGGATATGAGGGAGACAAGGTGGTAATATCTTTTATTGGACCAATTTCTTTTGGTGGAAGAGAGAAGCACTCAAGTTACACAGTGTCCTAAAGAAGAGCTCTGGGAAGCTTGACAGCTTGTCTCTCCCACCAACAGATGCTGGTCCAATAATAGGACCACCCAGTTTGTGCCTCTCGTATCCCAGGCCCAGCCCAGCTACAATAACACTGCAGAGAACTTGTGTGGATGGGCATGGAAACAGTCTATTCTGTTTGTCACTGTCCAGGACATGATTAAGGTATATTATGCAGGGCAGGGTGGGGAAGGCAAAGGTAAAACAGGCAGGAAGCAGTCCAGAACACCAGCTTCACAAAGAGGAACTCCAACAGTACAAGAAACAGTGAAATATTCTCTCAGCTGAGAGAGAGTATTGAAGAGGGGAAGAATGCTTTTTACTCATCACTGCAGCTACCCATGACCTGGAGTCTAATTAAATCCTTCCTGTGTTTCTCTTCCATTGCCAGGGCCTGTCCCCCAGGAGATGGAACGCACAGATTAACCACCTGAGCTGCCCGAAACCTGAGACTTTCTTGTTCTCCTCTCCACACATACGCTGGGCCTCTCTGCGAGAGATGTGGATTCCAAGCTTTGAACAATCCAAGAAAGAAGCTCGAGCACTGAGAAAGCTAGTGGAAAGGAATACGAACTTTACAGTGCGGGAATTTTGGGCACTTGTGTTCAAAGAATGAACATGCTAGGTTATTGCCCACACAGCGAGCTCCCCAATGCAGCCAGCTGTGTATTATACTTTTGACCACTGCCTTAACATTTGTAGGCCAGTAAGTACAGGAAAGAGTTAAATTGTCCTGCAAGACAGAATCTAGTAGGTACAATACTCAGTGAGTACTGATAAGCCACAGAATTACCAGAGCTGTCTTTTAAAAGTACATATTTGTATACTAATTGTCCTTAGCTTGTTAATGCCCCTATTCAGGAAAGTGCTTGAAGCACAAGCCTGATCTAAAGCATATGAGTAGTTCCAGTGAAGCTGATAGGACCACGTTCACTTACTTAGGATCAGGAACTTCTGTGCAGAATCAGGCCCATCACCTTCTCTGATCCAAGCCCCCACCTCTCTGGGTTAACAAACATTCACAGGTCGTGGAACGGTTTAGTCACATGGCCACAAAGGTCACAGCAGAGTGCCTTTGAGGCAGGTGTAGCGATCACACAGCTGCTCAGAATGTCTGTTTATCATCAGCCCCGTTGGACTTCGCAGTTTTAACTGAGACTTGACAAACTAACGTATTCTGATGCTGAGGATGTAAAACACATCAGCATTGAGCACTGGGAAACCCCCATCTGCTAGTACCTAGGGACAGAATGAATGAAAAAGCGCAGGGTAAGATTAAACCATTGTCTGCAATTTAAAACATAGGGCCATATGAATTTTTACCCTCAACGGGGGTCACTCCAAACTAAATAATTCTGTAGTAATCTACTTTCTTTCACTTAGGCCACATCTCCACTTGCTGCACTGGAAATCGATTTTCTGGCGTTTGATTTAATGGGTCTACTTAAGACCCGCTAACTCAAATGCTGAGAGCAGCTCCGGTCGGCACCGGTACTTCTGGCAGTCATGAGGAGTAAGGGAAGCCAATAAGAGCATTTGCTCCCATTGGCCTCCTTCTGTGAAGACGGCGCCAAGCTCTGCATAAGGTAAACCAACTCCAGCTATGTCTTTTACATAGCTGGAGTTGCACACCTTAATGTGACCTTCTGGGTCTAGCGTAGTCCTGGCCTTAGACAATTGATGAAAGAACGGGATCGGGTGCAGCAATGATTACATTGAGGGTCTGATCCTGCTACAAAGGCTACGTCTATACTGCAATCTTCTTCCGCAAGAAGAAGTGCATATGTCGCGCTCGCATTTGAATTTCCTTCTCAGATCCCTTTTCCTCAAGAGGTTTTTGCACAAAAAAAGAGCTGTGTAGATGGCTCCTTTTTGCGCAACCCCCTCGCCCCTTTTACTTATTATTTTTAGCCCTGTGAGCCCAAGGGAGCTGACTCAAGTGCCAAATTGCTGCCTTGTTTTTTGTTAGCAGTGTAGACACGCAATCTGCTTTCTCCAACACATGCTCATTACCAAGGGTTTTCCCCACAATAAATTGCTGCTTTACCTTTTAACATAATGCCAACAGTAGTAAAACATTTGCGCCCTTTCCCTCTCCCTTTTCCTCTAGAAACCGCAAAGAAGGTTAATGCTGGAACGATGTACTAAGCATAAAGGAGGAGAACAATGGTGCAACTAACTTAGAAACCTTACACCGAATCAATGACTAGAAATTAATTAAAGAAATACACAATAAGAATGGCTGTGTTCATTTCAGTGCAGCACGAACCCCGATCAGATTGTGGGGGAATGACTCTGCTGTCTCCGGCACACAGAGATGCGGAGGCACCTGTTGGAAATTTAGCCAAATATGTTCTCATACAAGGCACTGAAGAAAGATGCCAAGGGATCTTGAAGGCTACAGGCGCTACACTGTTAGGATATGTCTACACAGCTAATGTGATGCCAATATTTAAAAAAAGCTCTAGAGGTGATCCTGGCAATTACAGACTGGTAAGTCTAACATCAGTATTTGGCAAATTAGTTGAAACTATAGTAAAGAATAAAATTGTCAGACACATAGATGAACGTAATTTGTTGGGGGAAAGTCAACATGGTTTCTATAAAGGGAAATCATGCCTTACTAATCTGCTGGAGTTCTTTGAGGGAGCCAACAAACATGTGGACAAGAGGGATCCAGTGGATATAGTATACTTAGATTTCTAGAAAGCCTTTGACAAGGTCCCTCACGAAAGGCTCTTAAGTAAAGTATGTATCATGGGATAAGAGGGAAGATCCTTTAACTGATTGATAACTGGTTAAAAGATAGGAAACAAAGGGTAGGAATAAATGATAAGTTTTCCAAGTGGAGAGAGATAACTAGGGGTGTCCCCCAAGACTCTGTCCTGGGACCAATCCTATTCAGTGTATTTATAAATGATCTAGAGAGAGGGGTAAACAGTGAGGTGGCTAAATTTGCAGATGATACCAAACTGCTCAAGATAGTTAAGACTAAAGCAGACTGTGAAGAACTAAGTGAGAGGGCAACAAAATGGCAAATGAAATGTAATGTTGATACATGTAAAGTAATGGACATTGGAAAAAACAATCCCAACTATACATACATTATGAGGGGGACTAATTTAGCCACAACTACTCAAGAGAGAGATCTTGGAGTCATTGTGGATAGTTCTCTGAAAACATCCACTCAGTGTGCAGCAGCCGTCAAAAAAGCAAATAAAATGATAGGAATCATTAAAAAAGAGATAGAGAATACAACAGATAAGATCTTATTGCCTCTATATAAAACCATGGTACGCCCACGTCTTGAATCCTGCATACAGATGTGGTCCCCTCATCTCAGAAAGATATATTGGCATTGGTTGGACCCAGTATGGCCGTTCTTACGTTCTTATGTACAGCAAGCCATTATTTTGAAATAATGGCAAGCTGGAGGACTTCTTACTCCAACTGCTGTAACCCTCATTTCACGAGGAGTAAGGGACGTCCTTCGACTTCCTTTGACTTCCTACTGCGTAAACAGCGCCAAAAGCCGAATTAAGGTATTTCGATTTCAGCTGCACAATTGACGTAGCTGAAGTTGCGTAGCTTAACTCGACTTTTGCCCTGACGTGTAGATGCACCCCTACCAAGTGTATGATGCCTTTTACTAGTCGTCAGTCTTGTGTTTGCCTTCTAAGAAATCTGGTGGTATAGGGAGTAGTCTCCCCTCTGCCTTTATAACAGTGGATTGGGGTGAACAGTATACGAGGCACCTTTGTTTGGGACATTAGGCATCAAATGTCCATCCCAGCACACTTCTTCCATCTGCCATCCTATACAATGAAGGATAGCATGTGGACTCAGCTAAGTGCCCACAGAAGTGCTAAGCAAATGGTCGTGCCCGCAAAGAAGCCTCGTGTAACGCATCTTGGGACCTGTCCGCATGCTCTACTGTATGCAATTATTATATTTCATAGATAAAACTGAACCAAGTGTAAATTAAATACTTTCCATGTGTAAAAAAAATATTCCCATAAGTAATCCCTTGTCTCATAGTGGGCCAAATATTATAATATTTCTCATTAGTTTACCTAACAGCCATCTTTGAAAGACATCAAACATTACAAAAATATTGTAGCCTCACTAAAGCTTATACATAGACAGAAGGGGTAGTAAAAAAAAGCAGCATTGTGATAGAGTAACTGGCCTAATCTTTTGCTTAATTGTTTTTTAAAATACCGAGCCTTCATTTTCAGGCATCTGTGTAAACACATCTACTAAACACAGTTTTAATTGACCATTTATAACATAGTAGTTTGCTCATCTCTTAATATGCTCCTTTTTAAAAAATAAGAGTAATGCTTTATTTACATTCAACATTTAGAATAGCTTGAAAGAGTTTTCATCTAGCCTATGTCTGTATGACATACAAAAAACTTCATTAAAATAATATTAAAGTTGCAAAGTCAAGCATAACCAAATCATAGAAGAAGTCTATACCAGGAGTAGAATGCAGTCCGTGTGGGTCCCATATCCAGAAGAGAAGAGAACATCTGTTCTTTTCTTGCAATGATCTACCTCATTCATTGTCTATCCTATAAATGAGGCAGGGATGCTTTAGATTAAAAAGCATGTGATTGTATAATTAAAGACTGAATCATGCTATCTATAAACATGGGGACTGAATTAAATTTGAACTGGTAACCGTAATGTTGGCATTTCCTAACTTTGAAGTGCTTGACTCTGAAACTTTTATGATCTTTACAAACAAAAGAATTGTAAAATTGCCTAGGCTTTTAAAAAAAAGACAACTAGGAAAGCAGACCTTCCATCATGTAGAACCATATTGACGGGCAGGGAGTAAGAGGGGCTAATGGCAAAAGCCCTGAAGTTGCTGAGGCCATGAAAAATCACAGAGTCCGTGACCTCCATGACAGATCTGTAGCCCTATTTGTTTGCAGTCTCTGCAAAGAGGCCAGGATGTGTCACGGAAAATAATTAATCTTTATTAGGTCACAGAATGCCTAACAGTACTTATTATACGGTGTGACAGAACTCATAAGATCAGGGACAGTATTACAATAATTAATGTCCAGCAAGCACTGTATAAGACTCCAAAATGTTAGGGCCAGGTAGAGCACAGAGCAGCGCACCCACATTACTGTGGATCACAGTTAAAATGCTCTTTCGAGGCCTCTTCTAATAGCCCTTGTGTCCAGCTATTCAAACACAGCAAACAGCCGCTCCCCAGCGACAGCAACCTTCCCCCATTGATATGACACCAGACACGGCAGGCAGCTGGAACTACAGGAATGTTTTTCCTCACAAAGATCCAATCCGGGGAATAAGCAACACCAATGTCCCTTCAGTTGACCAAAAGCACTTTCAGCTGCCACTCTGCAGCTCCTGAATCTTTCTTTGGTGCTGTCAAGGCAGCTGGTGTACAGCTTCCTGAGGGAGGAGAGCCAGGGGTTGGCTGGGTCCCCGAGGATCACAACTGGCCTTTCAATATCACCCATAGTAACATGGTAGTTGGGAAGGAAAGTCGCTGCTGGCCGCTTTCGGAGCATTCCTGTGTTCCGAAAGGTCTGAGCCTCACACGCCTTCCCTCCCATGCTAGACTAGAACCCAGCTCTGCCAGCTGGAACAGCTGATGTTCCCACAAGGGAGCCTAGCTAGAGAGATGGTGGCAGCAGGCTGCTCCCTGCCCAGGCCCAACAGCCAGGCATAGGGGACGAGAGAGCTGGATAAGTGCTGGTGGGAGAGGGAACTCTGGCTTGCTCATTCCCCATCACTTGCAGTTGGGCTAGGGTTGCCAGGTGTGCAGTATTCACCCGGACAGTCTGGTATTTTCGCTTCCTGTCCGGTAAAAAATTCAGAAAATACCAGTCACCTAAGATGTCCGGTATTTTCTGATTTTTTCCCCTGGCCAGGAGGTGAAAATGCCGGGCACCTGGCAACCCTACAAACACTCAGCGCCCGGCTTCCCCCACCCCCCAAGTCCTCCCCAGCCCCCAACACCTCCAGCCCGCCCCCAACCCCCCCAGCCGGCCGAGCCCATGCTTACCTGGTTCCGTAAGGCTGCTGGCACAAAATGGCTGCCGGCAAAAAGACCAAGGGGAAGCAATGATTTCCCAGAGTCTTAGTGCTCAACCGCTCCTCTGTTCCTATCCCTGCACTCACTCTTAAAGGGGACATGCTGTTTTAATGCTGTTTTATTTGTTTTATTATTATTATTTTGCTTAATAACCCTTGGAGCCCCCCCCTTTTTTTTGGCTCAACAACTTTGGTCTCCCACCCCCCTTTTTTTTCTTCAACAGAATTGTTTCCCAGGTTTTTTTTGGTGAGGGAGGAGAGGTGGTCAGTATTTTTGTTTCAACAATCTGGCAACACTAAGTTGGGCTCAGGCAGGGGACGGCCTACGGCCTTCCCAGAGGGGCTCTCTTAGGCAGCCACATGCTGCAGGGAGCAGGGACCTGGAAAGACCAGCATGTGAAGTGGCTGGTCCCATTTCTTCTATTTCCTGTCTGAGCTCGGTTTCCAGGGACAGGGACCACATGTGCTCAGGGCAGGTACTGCAGGAGAGGCACAGGGCAGACCAAGCAGAAATGTGGGGGCGGGGGAGAGTGGAGCACTTGTCTTGCCTAGATGTTAAAATCAGTATTTTCATTCTAATACTGCTTGGCTTATGCGCCGCATCATTGTTGTGCAATAAAACTTCCCACCGCACCCTGAGAACGAACGGCAATTGCAGCTGGCGTGAATTTGCCAGGGCAGTTTCCTTCTGAATAGCATCCTAGTAGGTACCTTTCTAGGTGTCTTCAGACCAGTCATCTGCACGTTGACCACAAGATGTCACTGTGGCGCAAGCTACCACTCAGGATTAAGGGCAGAGACACGTCCTTTTCCAGCCACTTTTAATTGTTTTAATTGTTTCCAGTCAGGTTGCGCAGACACCATAAATGATGTTACATCCCTTTGCCTAGGCAGAATATCCAAGTTTATTCATGATTTGCTATCCGCGACATCAGGTCCATTCTGGACACAAAGTAATTGGCTCCCAGACTCAACAAAAAGGCCTGGGCTTGACCATGGAGACTAAAAATTCTCACACCCAGAGACCTGGTCCCACAATGGCAGAGCAGCATAAGGAGTCTTGTGACACTGCTCCCCAGATTGGACCAGCCTCGTGAACCAACAGAGACGTTAAATGGCCTGAGCCATCGATCCTTCAGCATCCTCACAAACACCAAA